TTCATTTTGGCTCCTTGGCACCCTGGATTTCGTAAAGTGGAAGAAATTGGAGGCTAGGCTTTTTACCTCCGCTAAGTACTTTGCCATGGTTGGTTCCCTGGCCTCGTACCCGCCGCTGAGTTGCTCGGTCACGAGCTACGAGTCGGTGAAGACGTGGATGGCGTCCACCTGCATTTCGAGGGCCAGCTTGAGTCCTGCCAGGAGCGCCTCATACTCGGCTTCATTGCTGGTTGCTCGGAACCCGAAGCGGAAGGAGTGTTCGAATGAGCATCCGTCGAGGGTCGAGAGTACCAATCCTGCGCCCGCGTTGCTCGAGGTAGCCGAGCCGTCCACGTGCAGGACCCACACCTCCTCTGACTGCTCGGAACTTCCATTCTCGTTCTAAACAAGTTCCGCGATGAAGTCGGCCACAGACTGGGCTTTGATAGCAGTCCTCGGTACATAATGTATGTCGAATTCCCCGAGTTCTACCGACCACTTGAGGAGCTGTCCTACAACATCAAATTTAGATAGAACCTGCCGGAGTGGTTGGTCGGTGATTACCTCAATCGGATGAGCCTGGAAGTAGGGGCGTAGCTTCTGGGATGTCAGCACGAGCGCCAAAGCAAGCTTCTCAATTGGCGGGTACCGCTCCTCGGGCCCGTTCAGGACATGGCTGATGTAGTAGACTGGTAGTTGCTCCCCAGAGGCCTCTTTGGTTAGGACGGAGCTGACCGCATGCTGGGAGGCGGCTAAATAAATGCTGAGCTTTTCCTCGAGAGCAACCGAGGCAAGGCGGGGGAGGTCGGCCAAGTGTTGCTTGACTTGCCCAAAAGCCTCTTCACACTGCACACCGTCCATCGGAAATCCCTTGGGTTTTTCAACGCTCGGAAAAAGAGGAGGCAGCGATCACCAGACCAGGATAGAAATTGGGATAAGGCAGCAAGCCTTCCGTTCAGTCGCTGCAAGACCTTGATTGTCCAGGGGGCCTACATGTTGATGACCGCCTGAACCTTTTCTGGATTTACGTCGATGCCTCTTTCATGCACGATGAATCCAAGGAACCTTCCCGAGCTGACGCCAAAAGCGTACTTCGCCAGGTTTAGTCGCAGGCCATACCTCCGCAGTGTGGAGAATGTCTCGGCCAAGTTAGTCAGGTGGTCTGCCGCCATGCGACATTTCACGATCATGTCATCGACATAGACCTCGACGTTTCGCCCGATTTGTGCGGCGAACATTTTGTTCACGGCCCTCTGATAGGTAGCACCCGCGTTTTTCAGCCCGAACGACATGACTATAGAAATACACCCCTAGATCGGTGATGAAAGTCGTGGGCTCTTGGTCATCGGGCGCAATTCTGATCTGGTTGTAGCCGGAGAAGGCATCCATAAACGACATGCGGGCATGCCCGGTGATTGCATCGATCAGCTGATCGATCCTCGGGAGGGGATAGCAGTCTTTTGGGCATGCACGGTTGAGACTGGTGTAGTCAACGCACATCCTCCAGCTCCCATTAGATTTCTTTACCAGAACTACATTAGACAGCCACCGCGGGTACTTGACTTCCTCGATGAAGCTAGCTGCTAAGAGTCGCTCCACCTCTTCGCGGACGGCGAGTTGCCTATCTGGGGCTTGACGTCGTGGTTTCTGTTTCACCGGCCGGGCATCGGGTGATATATTTAGGTGATGCTGGGCGGTCTTTGGGTCGACGCTCGTCATGTCGGATGGCGACCAAGCGAAGACGTCGGCGTTCTCTTGTAAGAAACCGACGAGCCGCTCCCGTTCTTGCTCGGGGAGTTCTGACCCGACCTTGACCGTCCGATCCAGCTGATCCTTCGTCAATGGTACGTCGCAAGTGGGCGCCGTCGGCTCAGGATGTAGCGTCGGTCGCTTCATTTTTCTCGGGTCCTCCGGAGGTTGGTCGGTCTTCGCCCTTTTGCGTAACGAAACCGCCGTTAGATAGCATCGTCTAGACTCTTGGGGGCTTTCCCAAACTTCCCCTGTCCCGGCGTGGGTAGGGAACTTCACCGTCTGGTGATAGGTGGAGACTACGACTCTGATCTTGTTGAGGGTGGGGCGGCCAAGGATGGCGTTGTTGGCAGTAGGGAGATCCACCACTAAGAAGGTGAACATCACCGTCTTTGTTTTGGGCGGCGCTCCCAAAGTCAGGGGCAAGGTGACAACCCCCAACGGGGAGATCGAGTCGCCGGTGAATCTCGTGAGCGCCGAGCAGATAGGCTTCAAGGGACTCTTTGGCTAACCCCAGCTTTTGGAAGGCATCAAGATAGAGCACGTCGGTTGAGCTCCCCGTGTCGATCATGATTCTCCTCACCTGGGCGTTAGCGATTTGAGCCATTATTACTAGCGCATCGTCATTCTCCGGTCGCTTGGCATCCTCGGGAGGGAATGCGACCTCGGGGTCGAGGCCGCGTTGGGGAGCATTGGTCTTGGCAGAACGGGCGTACGCCTTCCTCCCGGACATACTGGGTCCCCCGGCTGTCGGTCCTCCAGTGATGACATCGATGTGGCGCTCCGCGGGGCCCTCCAGACGGGGTGAAGGTTCCCTGTTTTGTCGGACGTACCGACTGAGGTGACCCCTGCGGACAAGCTCCTCGATTTGTCGCTTCAGCTCGCGGCACTCTTCGGTGTCGTGCCCGCTTTGCCGGTGAAAGCGACAATACTTGGACTGGTCGGCGAGTTCTCACGAGGGTTTCATCAGGACAGGGGCCCTGAGCAGCCCTTTCTCCCTTATATGGAGAAATATCTTCGTCCGGGACACGCCCAGAGGGGGCAGAGGAGGCCTCAAAACGGGCGGGTCAGATCGGTCCAACCTGCGCCTAGTCACGACCGCGAGCCGGCTCTTCCCGCTTCCCGGCCATCCAAGCCTCAGCCGCGACGAACTGGTTTGCCCGTTGAAGCATCTCAAGTACCGTGAAGGGGGGTCTCTCGATGAGGGACCAGAAGAATTAGGAGGGTCGCAGTCCCGCCATGAACGCCTGCATCAACAGAGAGGGGTGACCATATGATAATCCCCGGATCTGCGTTGCAAAAATGGTTCACAAAACGGGAGAGGGACTCGTCCTCCCCCTGGTGCAGTCCTAGAAGCAATGCAACGGACAATTTTGGCCATGCGCTGGCCAGGAAGTTGAGCTCGAAGTCTTTGGCGAGCTGGTCGAATGAGGCGACCGTCCCAGTCCTCAGGCCGCTGCACCACGCGTGGGCTGGTCCCCTCAGAGTTGTGGGGAACGCCCTGCACATCAAAGCGTCAGAGGTCCCATACAACGCCATTTGGGCACGGAAGGCGGCTACATGGTCCACTGGGTCGGTGGAGCCATCGTATGTTTCCAGAGAGGGGAGACGAAAGTTCTGTGGGACTGTCTGATCTCGTATTTCAAGGACAAATGGGGATCCCTGGTGTGCGTCCTCCCCGAGTTCTCCTTTTGACCTGCGGACCTCCTTCTGCACCTCGTCAAGTCGTTGACTGACGAGGAGCAACTGGGCTCGCAGGGAGTCCGTTGAGGCCGAAGAAAGGGCCTCGGGTTCCGCGTGGCCTCTCCGGTCCGTCGTCACTCGATCCCCGAGTGGGGACGACGGGACCCGAGGCGAAGCGAGAAGCTCCAGGGGCGGCGCGTGAGCCTGAGCAGGCGGCTCCTATTGCCGCACTGGTTGAGCGGCCGACAGGTGCAGCGTTCGAGAGACGAGTGGGATGATGGACTGCACCATACCGGTCAGAGCTTGGACTTGATGGGTGAGGTCGAGAAAGGCCTCGGACGAGACGGGTGACGGTTCGGCAGAGGGGGCGTCGGGCGGCGACAAGCCCGGGTCGTTGAATATATGCCAATAGTGCTCTGAAGTGGTGGCAGGGTGTTCGTTGTGAAGACCCGCCTATGGGGAACGTTCCCCCGGAGCCCCGATCGGGTGCGACCCCTCGGCTGCGGGTTCGACCGAGTCGATCTGGCGATTACTCGACATCATGCCCTCCTTCTAGCGCCAAAATGTTAGTGTAAACAACCTTAAGTCATGGCCTCGGGGCCGACGCGGCTCGGTTCGGCTCCGGATGACGGGGATCTCCAAAGGGGATTCCTCAGGACTGCTGAGGTCGCCGGCTCGGTCAGTTCGGTCGTGGAGGTGGGTCGTCGTTTCCTCCGGGAAGGGGCTCCTCGCCTGGTGCGTCCGGTGAGAGTCGCCTCGTCTTCGTTTCTGCACACAGGTCGAGTCGGGGTGCTTGACCCGACCCCTCCGACGATCAAGTTAGTTGAAGGTCGCAGGGGGTTTGTTCGTCTTTATGTGTTGTCCCCCCCTCACTCTTGTTTAGAACGCGAGGGTATTTATAGGGAAGTTTAGTGTTACCTGATGTGCCTGCCGCAGGGAGTAGGATCGTACCTCTGACGGCGTCTAATATCGCCGTTGGCGTGACATGAGGGATAGAGCCTGAGCAGTCGTTAATGGGCCTCGGTTGACGTTTCGACCCGTGTTTGCCAGGTGCTATCAGCCCGACAGAGACGTGGGGAGTCAGCTGATGTCACGTGAGTCTTATCATAATTATCACCCTCATTGGTGATGATTATTAGATTATCCCCTCCAAAGCTAAGTCCAAGGATTTTTTTTCAAGAAAAACTCATACCCACTAAGAGACCTCAATCATGGACCGGAAAAATTCCTCTTAGCGCAAGTGACACCTCCTCGAGAGTTTAAAATTTTCATCGATCACCGTCTTAGACATTCTTTCACCTTGGATTTGGATCATATTGGATTGACTTAGACATTCTTTATTTAATATGTCAACTTCCCTTCCGTTACAACGTACGAGGTTCAGCAATGTTGATTTTGATATATATATTCCAGTTGGCGAAGAAAATAAGTCATATCGGGCCAAATAGATAATGGATGATTGAGGCTACTCTTCATTAACCAATCAGATCCTTCTAATTTGTTTGCAAATTATGTACAATCTGGTCAGACCGATTAGTCATCATGCCATAATTGAGAATATGCAATTCTGTTCAAAATTAGACACGTCATTGAGTAGGATCACTTCACAATACGTTAATCGATAAATATAAAACAAAACTTCACAGGTGACAAAGTAGAAGCATCAAAGTAACTATAACAGTAATAAAAAATGTTCTTTACGTTCTATACCAAAATCAAACTTCACATGTTTATATTCTAATGCACACCTCCAAATCACTGGAACATAAGGCAAGATACACATGCTTGTTTGGTCATTGGCTTCGCTTATTGGCATAGTCATCAGGCTCATCATCATCATCCTTAATATCATCTTCAAACAAATCCTGATCGTCATTGCCATCCTTGGTTGATCCACTGCCATCATAAGCACCAGTATCATCGTCATATTTGGCATTGTTGCCACTGACTGTAGCAGCACTGTCGTTGTTACCACTCTCGCTACAATGGTATACTCTGTTGTTTCCCCTGTAATTACCAGTACCACCACCATAAGTACCATCAGCCCTGCCGATGGAACTGTCACGACCGTCGTCACCCCCGACAACACCATAATTACTACCCACGGTGTTCATACCATCATATCCTCCATAGCTACTACCACCAAAGCCACCACCACCACCACGAGGTCCAGTATTGTAACTTTCTCCACCATAATTACTTGCACCATTACCGCCACTTCCATAACCTCCTCCACGACCATGACCACTGCTTCCGTAACTGCCTCCACCACCGCCATATCCACCACCACTGCCAAAGCCCCCTCCACCATAGCCACCACGAAATCCACCCGATCGTTCCATGGCGTAGTTAACCCTTACTATCCGGCCATGAAGATCCTGATGTAGTAAGATTCATCATTGATACAGAACAGAGCAGTTTTGACTAAGAATGTAATATCGACTTCAAAACTAAGCAATCTGATCACATTTTTTAATCTTCCAATTTGAATAAAAATTAGCAGTCCAAAGTAAGAAGCAAAAATCATATGTATGTTTCAAGTGATAGCCTACCACTAGCAAAAAATTATACCTAATTACAAGTTCTAAAGATCTTTATCTATGAAATATAGTACAAGCAATAAAAATGAATCTTGTGAATTTTTCCCCCTCAAAGCACGCATTAGCGTAAGACAAGTTCATGTGACATCTAAATTATACCAAATACCAATTAAGTCAAAGGTTGAGTCAACCAATGGATTTTTCTTCTCAGCATCATGCAATTAACTTGGTATTTTAATCATAATTTTTAGTGGTTGATTTAGAATGCTCCTGAAATCCAATTTTGTGCCATAAAGAGTGTCACTAATAAATTTCTGTTAGAACGATCATGAAGTTGGTTGTATTTTACCTTCATCAGATAAACATAAGATGAAAGTACAATGGAAGTTCAATGATAAAGAATCCAACCTTTCACTTGCATTCACAAGAGACAGAAACAACAGAAGTCGTAGCCACTGTAGTGGTAAGAAATGATGCTACTAGAATACAAAAGAACAGACCTCAAACCAGTGTTCATTGGTAATCAATAACCAAATAAAACACAAAAGGTACCTCATCAAATTTACCTATTAGTAGCACAATATATGATTAATTAGATGCACTAGGGTGCCTAATCTTACATACGAACATTTATGAAGAATTTTGGGAAAAGAGTAGGATAATAATTTAAATGAAATAAAAACATAGGACCCACTGTATTTACTTAAGGAAGACACTGACAGAGCATGATTATGCATCCATGTGATGAGACACACCGTGATCCATTTTTATGTACAATATGATCATACTCAGAAGTTTCCATGTGGATTAAGATCCTGGGATGTTCCAGATAAGAGCCAGGGCTCTTGTCATATAATTGTCAGGGCCTTCTGTTTCTAGGTTAGCACTTTTTTATGTACTTCCACATAAAACTGATAGTGCAACAGGATCAGCACTCTGACTTGTATAAACATAAATGATGAATTTCCTATAGCAAACAAAATTAACAAACAAGCAAAATGAACTGTCAGGCAGATGTACCTTCCCAACAATGCAGCTTATGGAAGGGCATTCTGATTTATTTAAACATTAAACTCACATGGCCGAGAAAAAAAGCAAACTGAAGTATCAATGTACCTTTCCATCCATGCCACTAATGGCAGCAGAGGCTTCTTCACTAGACGTAAAAGTCACAAACCCAAATCCTCTAGACCTTCCTGTCTCCCTGTCCATGATAACTCTAGCTGCAGAGGAAAACATCCATGAACTAGTATGGATGCAGAACATTTATTTCATTAGGTTAGTGAAAAAAATTATCACTTGCCTTCTACAACTTCACCATAATTAGTAAATGCTTCTCTTAAACTGTAATCATCTGTGCCATATGAAAGTCCTAAGATGCAAATAATAGAGGCATAAGAAGCTGCAGAAATATGAAGTCAAATGCCAGAACAAAAGTTATTCTTCATTGTATTATGGCAGACCTCCAACAAAAACCTTTGAGGATGACATGCACCGTATTGCTTGATTTAACGATGGACTTAAAGTTACAGAATTCTTCAAGAGATTTCCAATTCTATTTGCAAAAGCCATTCTTCACACCTGATAATGATAAGCACAAAAAGGAAACTAAAGCATCTTAACAGGTTAAACACAAGCAAGCAGCATACCAAATATGAAAAAACTGAACACTTAAGATTAACTGGAATAATATTTTACCTTTGGTAAAGCAGGGAAGAAGTGGGTTTCTAAACAAAAAGCATACCAACATAGAAAACAATATGATTTGATAAATGCAATTGGTAAAAAAATAAATAATGGCTTAAAGCCATTCATCTGACCTCATTTATCCTATGTCCATAAGTAATCACTAAAAGTTGGAGTTCTTCAACAATAATCACCTAGACCTTTGCTATCAACTAATGATATCGAACTCAAACTTGTACATCCTATGCGCACCATGCTAATATTCAAGACGGTCAGTTGTACCACTATGAGTTGCACAAACAATAGAATTGTACATAAGAACACATCAAATCCTCCTGCAACAAACAGAACATCTCCAATCGAAATCCCTTGCTGACCTGACCCTAACCAAACTTATAGCTCAGCAGCATCCATTTTAATACCATCATCTCGACCTCGACAGATCGACAAACAGCAAGACGATAACATGATGACACCAACCACTGAGTGAAGTAATTGGAAAGAACCAAGAATCATCGCAGCGAACACAAACGTTCAGATCCCAAAAAGAAAGATGATCGTGAAACAAATCGAGCAACCATACCAAAAGATGCTATAATTACATTGATGGAAGCAGGAAAAGAGGCGAAATAGGGCAAGGGATTAGCAACATCAGATACCTTTCTTTCGGTGATCTGTCGACTGCTCCCCTCTCGAACGTGGCCAAAACCCTACCCACTCGAACAGGACGGGGGTTCAGATCGGAAAACACACATGCAATTTCGTGATGGATCTAATCCGTTCGTCTGCGATGGATGGAAGAAAGATCCCCTGAGGGGTGGGAGATATTTATGTTCGCACTCTTGCAGTATTTGGACGTCGACTTTCACCGACGGGGCGGAGAGGCACGGTGGCGGTCGATGACCATTAAAAAGTAAGATTTTTTTCGCCCAAGAATGGTATTATATTAGCAACCGAAGAGTATTCACGATGTCATCGTAGATTTGTAGGAGTAAATAGGTTAATAGAAAAAGATGCATGTTAAAGATGAACTCTTCCAGATCATGTCATCAATTATTCTCTCATAATAATAATATTATGAGAGAATAACATTATTAGCAAATAATATTATGACTCTTCCAGATGTCATACTGGCTTTGCCAGGAACGATTTCTTTGACACGGGCTCAAGATGGGCCCCGTTTCAACCGAACGATTTGACTCGTGTCAGGACCAAGAAACATGGGTGCAAAAGGTGCGTAACGAGTTATTACCCAAAGAAATTCCATAGCACTACACATGTCGATGCCCAATTTCCCGTCGACTACCATCCGATTGCGGGGAAGCTTAAGGCGATTCGCGCGGCTCCCCTCCGCTTGTCTTCCCTTCCTCTCCTCTCTTCTTCTCCGAATCTACCGCACGAGGTTCTCCATGGCGTTGATCGATCGGAAACAGAAACAGGGAGAAGGAAGAGGAGTCTCGATGCTCCTCTCCAAGCCGTCACCGGATTCGCATCAGCTCTCGTTGTCTCATCGTGGATTACTTGGTCTCCTTTATGGTTTGTTTTCCTCTCCGTTATTGCTCATAGCGAAACTTGTTACATGCCTTATGATTTATTTGCACTGCCATAGAATAACATTTACTGGATCTGTGGTGAAGGTTATGCCCGTTTCATACGTGTTGGATTTTGAGCCATTATCAAAGTCATCCATTAGACCTATTAGAGTTTTGTTGTGTGATTTTTGTGTACAATAAAAAGAGCTGATACTCATATATCAATTCAGGTTTTTTTTTACCCCTTGGGATTGTATACATTTTAAATTTTTATTGCCATATTCTTTGAATACGTTTTAGGATGTTAAAAAAGCAGCCTCAGACTGCCAATGTTTAGTGTTTGTTTTTATTTCTTCACAAGAATGCTTCTAGATTGAGTAGTTAAACTTGATAGCCAGGAAATTGTAAACAAATGATTGGTGTGGAATTCTGAATCCAATGTCTTTCACTTGATGTCTTTAAAGAAGTGAACAAGAAAGGTCTGGGATTACATGTAGATATTCTACAGTTGAATTTCCTGCTAGAGTGAAACATGGAAGTGTATATTCCAACAAAATTTATGAAGGAAAATTGGCAAAATGCTCTACTGGCCAACGACTTCTTTCAGATAGGTAAGGTGTACTTTTGAGGTACACAACAGGAAGAATACCTATTACCAGCTCAATAGCCAACCACAAGGTTCTGATAACATACAAGAAGCAGATACCAGATGATCCTAACTATCAATTCATTATTCTTTTTTATTGTTACCACATTTTGGTAACAATTGGAGGGTGATAAGAAGTACGACAAGAATTGAAATTATTAGCACTCAGCGAAGAAGTGACTGTTAATGAGGGGTTCCAGCATTAATGGGATTGCTAAAATGTTCTATATTTTTTTGGGGGATATTAGGACCAAGGAAGAAAAATCTCCGAGGGCGGAGCAAGGCCATTCCTGGGAAAAAAGTTTGCCAGTTGATTAATATATAGACATATATATGTATTGTCACAACAACAAAGAACAAAAACAAGAAGTCGACTTAATTCAAACACTTGGTAAGTAGCTATCTGTGCAGCTTACTTGGCTTGATTTGCAAACCAGCTTCAGTGACACCACTTAAAACTTCATCGATCAAATCCTTGAATATCAACCTCTCAATCTGTAAAGCCACCCTCGATTGCTCGACGCTGAAGTCTACCCAGCCTTCAGATCGGTAGAGGATGTCCTCTCCAGCAATAAACTCAACATCATCCTCCAAGCTGGTAGATCTTGTCTTCTCAGTTCGAAGCCTTCTAATCTGAGAGCACACTTCTTCCAGTACAAGCTGCTGCCCACTTAGTTTTCTTCTGAACTGACATAAAAGGTCAAGGCCATTCCCATAGGCAGTTGATTCCATCTTATGAGATATGATCTCATTTACCACATCAAAAACAAGCTTCCTGTGGTTCTTCTCTGTATTTGTCTTCTGATGCTGAGTTTCTTCTTTATCAAGTTCACATTTTGAGAACCAGCCATGCTTTGGTTGCTCGAGAACACCAAACAACTCCGGGTTGATAGCATGGCCTGATGTATAGAGCTGAAGCGGAACCCTGCAGTCTTTGTTCAATATGCCTGTTGCCAGTAGAATCTCGGAGACATAATTGTGATCCGGGTTGTCCATGTTACACTTCGAGGTAATGAAGTCTGTTGTTGGAAGCTCTGCATCAGCCGATTTCAGCATTTTGATTTGTACAAGGTTTTCAAAATCTTGAAGTTTCTTGAGGCTGGTTTCATCATTCATCTTGGATGAATTCTTTGGGTGGCAGTACAGGTCTAAAGTGCAAGGTTCAGTATCTGCTCAAGGAGGAATAAGAGGAGTCATTACAAAGGTAAGTCACAGGGTTTGCCTTGGAATATAACTTAGATATCATTACAAAGAGTTGCATAAATAATGAGACTATTAGGGTCCACATTGACAATTCAAAATAGTGTGATTAGTTACCACTACAGAAGAAAACTTTCATTTCTCACTGAAACTATTTTGTAAACATTTCCTCATTAAAGTACAGAATTCATAGAACAAATGCTCACCTTTGACTGCATCTGGGGTTCTCTTCACAGGGGAAGGAGAAAATTGATCCTCATAGCATGAAGAATCAAGAACTGACACAGGACTTGGGTATTCAAAGGTAATACTCGTGAGCTCCTTATCTGATATATGTTGACTTGTATTTACTGCAGAATTCTGAAACAGGCAAAGAAATCAAAGCAATGAATGATATGCATGGATAACATACAATAAAATCATATAATTAGACCTATGAAGTTGATATTATGAGTTGTACGTTGGAATTAGTGTTAGAAAGTATACAGATTGTGTATAGAGTAAAATTTCCACAGCAACTAAATAATATATTTTGCAGTTTTAGTGATATTGTGGATTATATGAGAGATCACTGAAAGAAGTTAAAGCATCACAACTTACTAAAAAAAAAGAAATTAAAGCATCACATGACCATGGACTTCATTTTATTTACTTCACTTATAGAAGAATAACTAAAAGAATAAAGAAGATTATGTGTCTTAAATATGAAGACCAATGAGGAATATGAATATGGCAAGGTATTGATGCACCAATATGTCAAAACTGAAAAGCTTAGGATGTGTCATGATAATTCTTATAAAAAAATATAATATAATATATAACAAATTCTAAATCTTATTTATTGTGTTAGAATAAATGATTAACAAAAGTCTATACTAAATTATGGAGAAGATAGAGAGAGCATATAATAACTGAAGAAGTATGATTAGTGTTTTAATTTCACTAATTATTGATGTTTAATACAAACAATATATAAACAAGTTATTTAATGATATATTTATCTTTGTAATTCAAGAAACGTCCAAGTAAAACAAAGTTTTTTCAAGAAGAATCGATAAAGAATCCCTAAATTATTCTAAAAGTATATGACATTTTTCAATTTATTTTTGAAAATTGGATGCTTTGAAGCAAATATTTGACACACATCCAAGAAATATCCAATCAATGCCATATCCAATTTAATTCATTTATTATATTATTGTTCATCATCTAAAATTTCTGATTTGTATTTCTTCACTCATTTAAAATGCATTATATCTTTAATATGAATGATTAACTGCAGAAGTAGGTAGAGTTGTACCTTCTGGTTCAAGACTAAGGTTGCAATCTGGGAAGCCCTGCTTGATGGGATGCGATGCTGCAGAACAGATGACTGTAATGCAAAGCTCCTACTTTTGTTAGAACCTGGTGAAGTTTCATCATTTCGACGACTTGAAACCCTTTTCTCACAGATGATTTCATCAACATCAACCTGGTCTTCTCTTTTTTGTACTTGAGATTGTTTCAGCCTGAGTTTGTGTCTTGGAGAAACTGATTCGACTGGTTTCCTATTGTTATGCTCACTTTGAGCCTTGTTCATGTTGGGGGTAAGTGGACATGGCTGCTTCTCTGCTTCTGTTTTTCTCTGCTGCAGTCTTGGGCTCAGAATGCTTGAAGTTTTTGCTGAGACTCCACTGTTCTCTTCCAGATACTGCATCAAGTTTGAATGAAATTTCGGAGAATTATTATTTCCCATGGACCTTCTGATGATTTGCCTATCTGTTGTTGAGAGAAGTGACTGAATGTTTGATTCACCAAGTCTGACTCTAGGACTGTGGTCTCTCTCAGCTGTGATGTTTGCTGAGCTTTTCTTTCTATTACCAGCACTACTTGTAAGCAGCTTTGGAAGATTTGATAGACCTTCCAGAAGAACTACTGTGTGACCTGAAGCATCTGAAATTCTGACATTCTTTGCAGGCTTCATGACTACAATTGGAGGATCAAAAGCTTTTGGAGAACTACCTTCTTGTGCTGGTTGTTTCCAGACCTTTGGTGACCTTGAGTTCTGAGTGCTTCCCCTTGGAGTTCGGTCTGCGTAATCTTCCAGCACAGATATCTTGTAGGGATAATCATTATCCTTTGTGGTCTGCGCCAGCCTCTTCGCGTGCATAGCAGCTACTATTTGTTTGAGAGCCCTGAGGTCCTTCTTTTGCTGCTGGAACTTAGGCCCTTTGAGTCTCTCCTCTATCTCTTGGTAGATGAACTGAGCTTCTTGGTACCCAGTTCTTGCTTTCTGTGGAGTCTGCTGTGTCCAAGGTGCGGTCTCAGTCATGATCTTTGATTTGTGTTTCAGCGGCGAATGATGATCTTTTGGCTTTGCTATTGTTGAATCTCTGCTTTGAACAGCGTGAGGGAGCTGATCACCTTTTGCATCCCGAGTTCCTCTTGGTCTTGTTGCTGAGGTACAGTCTCTCGGTTCATGGGAAGGAGCACAGCTTTTTCTGGCAACTGCTGCTTGAGCTGCTGAGTTCGAGCCGAGCATTTCATCCAAGCCCATGAGCTTTGCGACGATGCTGGGTTGTCGCTTTTGGCTAAGATCCTGAAGCAGATTGGAAGCTCTATTGACACTGGGACTGGTAGTAGTTTTGTCGAAGTCCTCCAAAGTTGAACTTGTTCTTGAAGCAAAGTTAGAACTCCTTTGAGCTCCTCGCCTGCTGTCCAGTGAGAGCCTTGGAAGCTCTCTAAGTTTGTTAGCGGGCTTACTGTTATCTTGGGAATCCATCGACAGCCGCGAGAGTTCTCTTCCATCATAAGAGAAACGAGGTGATCTCCGTGATTCTTGGTAGAACGAGGTATCGTTTGCTTCATGATCACGAAAACTCCAGGGTGCTTCCTTGAGTTCTACCAGGAGTCTGATTGCTTCATTGAGATCAGCTGGCATTCTCGTTTTGGCGAGCAGCACAGGCCTGGGCGTGTCCTTGTGCTTCACTTCATGGTTGTTCACCTTCTCAGTTGATGCAGTTCTGGTAGGAAAGCCCTGAGCGCCTTTCTTTATGGGATCTCTCACAGCATTGTGGAAATCAAGGGTTTGCAGAATAGCCTTCGGGGTACTACTGCAGGAGTCAAAGCTTATAGATTTGGCATCATCTTCTGGTTTCTTGACCTCGGGTGAATTCGCTAGTAGCGACTTCTCTTGAAAGAATGCTCTGTCAAAGGAGCAGGCCTCCTGTCGAGATGCTTTGACAGATTCGAGAGAAGAATATGACGAGCTGGATGAGGAACAAGAAGCTCTCGACGATTCCATGGAAGCTGTCTGGGTTTCGTTCAAGCTCTTGCTCAGATTCTTCTCCTGCATGTTAAATTGATATCTGTCAATCTTCTATCGATAGAGAACAAAACAATAGTAAGTATGCTGAGGCTGATACTTTACCCGAAGAATCTGTGAAAAGCGTGGTTTTTGCTCTGACTCTCGTCTTCCATTCTTTGGAAGAACATGTCCTACCCAAGAACAAGATCAATATTTCGTTAGGATCTAACTCCAAAACTACAGTCTGCAGCATAGACACATATCAGGGTATCCATTTTAATTTGGTGGTAACAATTTGGTGATTCAATTTGACAATTGTCAAAAGATGAGCACTTAAATGGTCATCATTGATGCTCAATTGACACTTTTTCAGAACAAAAATTTCTCCATGATATTAGTTATTTGTAATACAGGATCGAGGCAGTATTATTGTATTAGTGGCTCAAGGCTTTACAATCATCAAATTCTCCATGTATGTTCCTCAGGTTAGAAATATCTTTATTAATAGATCGATCAATGAAAACCTATCGACTTATTTATTTGCAGCAGTATTATTTCTGTTTATCCTTTCACATATCGCCTATTTTAATGCCAGGGGATCCAACAGAATCACAGAAGGGTCAGAATCTTCAAAATTAAATTTGAGTTTGCTGATGATACAAATGCCTCAACAAGGAGTCTCATAATTGATTCAGCAAGAACCAGTTGGTACCTGATGGAAGCTTCCTATGGTTGTGATCATTGAGGCGCTTCCCAATGAGGAGATGGTGGCGGTCAAACATCTGAAAGATTCCGGCGATGCACCCAATTTGCTTCTGCAGATCCATATTCTCATCCGTGAACGCATCGAGCAACTTGGCACGCATTCTGAGCCGCTTTGATTCCACGACTTCAATATAAGGCTCACAAAAAGGGATCTGTTTTCTCGCTCTAGTGTTGGTCGAGTTCCGCAAGGGAAGGCATGAGCAAACTGTGGGTTTAAGAAACCAATTGTTGGGGAGGGTTCTGAGTATATGGTGATAGATTCGAGCTGGGAAGAATGGAATCGAAGAGGCTATGTTGAAGATGGCTGTGAGGGGCCTTCCTCACACCGCGCGGGTCTTTAAGCAGCTTGCATGGGCATGTGATGGCGGTCAGGAAGTACAGAGCATGGTCGACTGCAAATTGTTACCAGTATCGTTCTCAGACTCTCCCTTCTTCTTTACCTGCTGTCATTTTTAGCACCATGATACCTGTCCATACTCGAACACAATCAATTGGTTCATTTAACTGTGACTCCAACAAGGTGGTCCTACGAACAGTTAGTGAAGGCAGCCATCTGGATTGTCTGCCATTGCAGAAACTGTCGAATCTAAACCAGTAGAATGAATGTTTCTTTGTACAGTAAAGAAGCTATGACACACTACTTATCCATCATGTTAGCCATTTACAATCTTGTTCTGGTTTTGTTATGGATATGAGACTCCTGAGCTCATCCTCCAAGTACAAGGACACATGCTCCTAGTAGGATATAGGTCACTGTGGCCTTTTAGTTAAGCACAGTGATACATTTATCTTGGAGGTGATCTTTAAAACTGTTTACATCTACATGTCAGCCTATGGATGTTAAGAATGGGTTACTCATAATTCTCTTCCCTTATATGCATTTATATACTTTGGTAGTAAGGGTGTGGTGATGAATGCATGTCGGATAAGATATAGGGAAAGCAAGGGCACATGGGGCTAGCTACGGCTGCTCTTGAATCATTAGGCAGCACCAACTAACTGAGTGCAATAATCCATGGCATGTTCCAATCCATTAACTCTGGCATTTGTACCACAAGGTTGGCACAACTTATCAAAGAATGTCGTAGGGGGAAACAGAGTTATCGCCATGCCCCATATGCAGCATGGGGTTGAAGCAGGATGAAGTGATCCACACATGGCATGTTTTTTCCACTTGTACATCTCGGTTTGCAAATTCATATCAAGGTTTACGCTAACCGTGGAAGAACCACACACTTGAAGGGTAGTTTTGGCGATCACAAATCAGCATATCAAAAAGGATGCAAGTCTCTCGCATGATATGAAAATAATAATACATGGATATTTAGATTTTTAATTACGACTTGTCTGACACTATATTAGACTTCCTACTCGCATGTCAATATTAAAATGTCTTATCAATCCACATCATCATCATGTCAATAATAGAATGTCTTGTCAGCTCGGATCATCATTTACGAATGACTCTATTTTAAGTCTGAGTAACACTCAATAATTCTATAATCTTATTTTATGTGAAATACTTATCGATTAAAGCTTAATACGAATAGTTACTCGAATAATTTATAAAATACTCAAGTATGAAATAATTTTTTTTAATATAGTATCTTTTTTTTCTTTCACATTAACTTAAATAACGAAAAGATCTTACTCTACGTATTTAATTGAGTCCTTGAATAATCTAAACAAACTAATGTATATATATATGTATATATAATGATTATAAAAGAAATTAAGCACTAATAAGATTGAAAATTTTAAAATTTATGTAAGAGAATATATATTTGACTCGAGGGAAAAGTTTATTTATTAATCTTGGATAGTGAATTTTCTTTTATTTTTTATTTTCTGTTGATTTTGATAATAAGTGTCGAGGCACATAAAAATTTATATTGATTATTTTAAATGTATAATTTCCGCCAACAGCATGGGTGAGAATAAGATACCAAACCAGCGTGAATCGTTTGAGGGAAACCAGAAAGTGGCACCACACCCTCTCGAATTGCCGAGAGTTATCCACAGAAACAGCGAGCGCTCGCGGTGCGCAAACTGCCAACAGCGGCGGCGTCACCTTCATGTGGGCAGCGGGCCACGCACGGTTAAAGAGGCAGCAGCACCCGTGGTTGGGGCCGATGTCGGCCGCCCGCCCTCTCCCTCAATCAACGTGCCATGTCTCCCCCCTCCCCCCTCTCTTTTAGCATCCATGTCCTCCACCAGAATCGACAGCCATCGTCCGCTGATGCCTACCCAGCAACAGTAGCAGCTCGTGGACCGCCATCCCGTCTGCAGTGACCACCCAGAGTTCGAGCTCGTTAACCATGAACTTGGTCGAAAGATCTACCCCATAGTACAGACAGCTGCATTCAAGTCCTGTGTTCTTATCCTCGATTCACAGAGAAAAAAAAGGAGCTCCGGATGGGCGATTGGACCACTGTGGTTACTGAGGGCCAAAACCAACTTATCTGTAATTTGGATTTGCGTGAGCCTTTTGAACTGGCCACATGCCGCGTCTGAGTGTGTTAGCCTCTCACTCGCGCGTCCTACTCCTCACTCACCATCATCAATTCCTGATATGAACAGGGACGAGTAGGACAAGGAATCCCATTAATAAACGCACCGCCAGTCCTTTGTGGTTATTATCATATCGGCTTGCTTGCTCAAAGAATAATAGTAAAGGTTTTCTTTTCCAGATTTTGCCATTAGAATTAGAATCCAAATAAACCCAATAATTCTTTAGTTTCAGACTAACATAAACCCAATAATTCTTTAGTTTCGGAACCGACGATTTGGATTCGATTTCTAAAGTTTACAAATCAAAATCGATCGATTTTTTATATTTTAAATTATAAATATTTTTAAATAAAAAATTATAATTTTTCAAATCTAAACCATCGATTACTATCTCAAAAATCCAATTTATATGTTTCTATCTAGATCAAGAGGTTCATGAGAGGAAGGATGGTTTGACTGCTGCTATCGAGCCACAACTCATTGCAGATCATGCACCTAGTGACTGTCTACAGGATTTACTGAGAACACAGAGATTATTATGCTATGCGAACACTAGAGATAAGGTAAGAAACACCGATAACATGGCCAAAAAACGAACATGAGAATTTAGCAACATATACCCAAGGTTTGTAAGGATGATAAAAGCCCATACAAGTAGCAACCAATGTCTTCAAGGCCATGTAGCGCGGATGATCACAATATATCTTGAGTTTACAGAACTCTTCTAAGGATACTTCTCAAACTGAGACTCATTGCAATGTGGATCCAGCCATATCTCTCGGTGAAGTCTTCAGCATGCTGCGGCTGCTTACTTTACTGCCAACGAGCTGTTGAAGTGTTTCTACCTTGTTCTTGCGCCCGGTTCCAGGAAATCTACCATCTGCTTCTCTTAGCTTATGTTTGAAGCGCTGCCTATGGCTAGATGCGTTCGACTCTTGTTGCCTGGCTTGAGGTGGAGCACCGTGAGGTCCCAAGTATATTGTCTCAGCTTCCCTGGTGGTCTGTTTAAAGCATATATTATTCGGTCCATATGAATCACATCAGCATATATGATTGGGAACAACTTAGTGAATAGCAGACATTGTAAGACTCACATTTGCCGGAGGTTTTGGACCCGTCACTCCAGGCACATTTGTGTTGGCAAGATCAGAATCACTGATAACCAAGCTCGGGATCACAAATCCATCAGTATCTGTAACATCAACCCTTCACTTAATGCTATGCAACTAGTTCAAGGTACAGGGTGAACTACCATCACAGAAATGTACACATCCGAAACCATTAGTTCCATTCTGCCGACACCTACTAATTCTGTAATAACTGACTACAATCAGGTATACCAATTCCGAAAGGTCAAGAAAGTGCATGAAGAAAAGACAAGCGTATATTATTGTGTAAAATAAAACACATGTATTTGAGCAATAATCCCATCAATTATCAAACGATGAATGCTGTAACATCAACAACTTGATAACAGTTGATGATGAATAAATTCTCTAAGATCTCCAAAATCTCCGTCGTGTGGAAAGAATGTAACTTTGAAAAGAAAATTTAGCAGCCTTCAACGACAGGATTTCTGCAGAAGCCCTGAGAACAAAATAGAAAAGGGTTTGGAGGACAAAAAATAGTAGCTCTATGTGCCATCTCATCCTGTTTAAGAGATCGAATACCATTAAGTACTTGGTAAGCGAAGAAAATTAAGCATAAGAGAATACAGATCATTTAGGGATCAAAACTAGCACTTGCTTTGTAAACAAAAAGATGTCTGCGTGATAGACGAGACGAACAGACAGACCGACAGAAATGGGAAAAAAAACTGAAAACCCATGAAAATTGTGTCGAGGTTCAAGCACTACATGTTGAATCTCAATGGCTATAAGAAAAACTACATGTTGTATAATCTTTGCTTCTCCTCCCATATTTCCCGATAACTTTAGTGAATTGTTACATCTGAAACTTTTTCAGGCAATTGTAAACATTGATCTGCATCAACCAACCCTTATTTGGCAGGGAAACAAGCATCATTCCTGAATAACATATAAATAATAGATGACACACATTACGGGATGTGAAGGCGAGGCAGATGGGAGTAAAGAACGTCAACTTTGTGATGACAGATGAGTATTGTACGAAAGGTAATATGGATCACTCTGAATTCACAGGATCTCCTCTTTTTTTTTCCTTTTTTAGAGGAATGGGTTGGATTACACAAATAAAAATTCACAACGACATAATAAAACATACACTAAGCAATAAAGGCTACCAAAAATGTTAAGCCTCATCATCCCCAATAGGAGCTTAACTCAAGTATTCACGTTAAAACTACCAAATAAGTATTGGATTTGTAATTTCATAATCATGAAGTGAAATTAAGAACCAGAAAATTTTCTCCCATACGTATGCCGTTACTCAACTAGAACAAAGAAAAAAAATTGGAATCTTGTAAGAACCCCAGAACGAGATTACCCAAAGAAAGAACCACAAATCCACCAGCAAAAACAAATCTTGAGCAAAGAGAAGAGGAGTACCCCAGTCGTCTTCTTCCGCCACTGGAGAGGACTGATTCAAAGAGGGATCCATGGAACGCAAACGAACATCGATTCAGGGACCAAAAGGGCGCAAAAGCCCGCACCTTTCTCGATTCAGCAACAAATGGAAAACAAGGGTAAGTAGCAGGAAACGAAATCGAAGAAAATAGCAAAAAAAATCGAGCAAAATAAACCAAGAAAAGAACCTTTTGAGAGGAAAGAAAGAAGCGCAGCCGCAGACGAGGAACGCTGAGAAGGGTTCCTTAGCAAAAGGTCAACAGAGATCAGATTCTTACCGACTTCTATTTACGGAAGTACCCATATTACATGTCGGGTTGTCGGATTCCGGACTCGACCGTTTCATGATAATATTATGCGGATTATTAACTTTATAATTATACTTTCTTTCAAGATGAACACGTTGGAGGAAATAAATGCATCATCTCATAGCATGACAGATATCATCATGAACGACATTGGCATTATTTCATTTCGAATCCAATACAAAATTGGCCATCATTACAGCGGCTTCTATCTTAGCCAATGCGGATCCAGATCCGACAGAACCCGCTTCACTTTTCCTTTCTCAGACGGGCGTATTTGTCATCAAACAGATTGGCTGGGCGCAGTTCGGCATGGCAGCTCGGCGGCCGTTGTGGCTCTTTTTCGCCCCCGGAGTGCACTTTGGGAGTCATCGGACCAGATGACAAGATCATCATCATCAGCCAGAGCTCCTATCCGAAGAATGCAGACGAACTGTCAATCCGTCCTCGGGCAACTTGAAGTCAGAGAGATGGAATCGGATGAGTAGGGGCAGGTTTCCTGTTCTTTCTTTCCTCTCACAGTTGGGCTTTAATCCATCTGTTCTTATTTTCCATCGATGACATAAATACCATGGGCTAGTCTTAGCATACTGTTTTCACCATACTGAGAAGTGTCGTATCTACTACACTAATCTTGCTATAGAAAACAATTAAGTATGTCCATTCCTAACTCTTAATTGATATTTCTTTCTTGTAGCTCTTTGTTTTGTGTTCCCCTTGCATAGGCCTAAGGAAGCCAAGAGACTCGCCTGTGTCTCATCTGCTTTACAGATTCGTCTCTCAGTTTTACTGCTAGATGACTCGAGAGAACTTTGCAGAATTCGTCCAGCTTGGTGGTGGATGTCAGGTAATTGAGTCAAAAGTTTCTCGTATGAATAAAAAGGTGTTCAGCTCGCCAAAGTCTAAAAGTTGATGCCACTTTTATGCACACTATCATCACAGTTTCCTGGACTTGAGCTTAATGGAAGATTTATCCCAGTTCACTCCAAATTTGTGAAGAATAGAGATTCATATTTATGATCAAATGAGATGCCATTCTTTTAAGAGTGGGCACATCCTATTTTTCTGTACACCAAGCAATGTTTGAGGTATTTCTTCATTCATTCTCTCGGAGATGTTTTGGTCTATACTTTTTGAAATTTCTTTGTATTTCCATTTGCCTCATCTCCAACTTTGAAGTAATATGATCCAGGAGAGATTCTCAAGGACGTGGGATTCTTCATTCGAGTATGACACGACACATACTTTGCTCCTGGAGGATGAAGGTTTTTGGTTCTTTCAACCATGTCATTTTTCATCTCAGACACTTGTATAGTGACTGTCAGGTTTAGCGAGTAAAGTACGTCGAAGACTGTGGGCATCAGATTCTGTAGATAATGCTCCTTCGAGGCTCCCTATCATTCACATTAAGCAAATGATGACAAGTTTTACCCCTATCATCCTCTCAAACAAGAAAGTCGAAAGTGATAGATAGAGATTGATAGATAGAGATGAACAAAGTTCTACTTGTGTCTCCTTAAGAACAGGTTCAGAAGCTGATTCCAAGCTCTTCTGGAACAGAAATAGAATATCATGGTGAAGAAGAAAATATTCAAGAATTTCAAGCTGAAAATTGAACATTGTACAGAAGATTTGATGGTGCAGTTGTCGTGACTTGTATTGTCTAAAAAAAGCAAATGCAATTTATGGAGCATTGATTGAAGCAAATTAAATATTGGTAACCAGACAGGGACAAATTCTTTAAATGCTATTGACTCTGTTTCCCACGGCAGAGTCCAATAAAACTCATAAGAGTATATATATATGTATAATGTCACCTGTGATGCATCGACTAAGTATGCAGATCATGACAAGGAAGAATCGTGTGAATAAAATGTATACTGGCCATGGATTGTTTCGTTCAAGGAGTCGTCACTTTCATTCTCACAAAAGACATCAGTGTGATAAACAAACACCAGCTATCGTGAATCATTAATGTGGCCTTTCATGTCCATATTATGATGATGGGTTCACATCAGAGCTACGGCACAAATGCCTAATAGATTTCCTTCACTAGAATAAGCGAGTCTGACCAAAAAGGCCAATACGTACGTTCTCAATGTGAAAATGGATTGATGAAAAGCATGCCATGCGATCGAGCTTGATTCGAAGGAGACCACCAACTCGAGATTCCGAACTCTTGATCTTTAACGAGTCGGAGAAAGTGGCCGAAAGAAGATGAAACGATTGGCAAATTCCTGCTTTGCTTTCGGTTCGGATTGAGAACGACCTGCCATTCCCTGGTTTTGGAGGAGCCGTATACATCCGTGTGAACTCTTCCTCTTCTCGACAATGATGCGATAGAAAACCCCAAGGAAAGACGCCATGATGGCAAGTGCCATGCAGGTCGCCGTCAGCGAAGATAAGTGACGAGCATCGGGCACCGTTACCGCAATTATGTACATTGTATTGCGCGCAACGCGACGATATTGGCCCCATTATTACAACTCTTTCATTCTGACCCCCTCACCGAGAAAAGCTTCGTCCTCCGATGGTGGTGCGATGTTTCCTCTCAAGTGATGGTGACCTGGTATTTGCCTAGTGAACTCGGTTGCCATCCGTTGAAGTAAGCTCGCGCCCTCGCTTCGGCTATGGAAGATGGATGGGGTGGCCGCACTTGCTCCGCGCCGTCGCTTTCGTCGGCCCTTGTCGCTGACGAGATGGGTGGTAAAAATCGCGTCGTGCGGCCCACCGTGGTGGCCCACGTTGCGACGCCCGGGAACGAGCGGCGATGATGGCAACCCCATCGTCACCCGACGACCTTGTCGTGCGGTCCTCTGCGCATCGAGATATCCCATGCGAGACTGCGACCCGACGCCACGAATCCCGCTCTCGCGTGCTGGTTCCTATGCGGTACTGCAAATACGATGGCTCCCCACTTTGGTTGGTTTCTCTTGCGGTCCAAGCTGCTCATCCTCTGAGTTGAGATCGCTTTGTGAGCGCAACTCAAAAGTTCAGAGACGAAGAAACGATCGACGGCCGCAGGGGACACTTGCACCCATTTGATGAGAAGAAGAATTGTCGTCGCGTTCGTGGAATGTGACGCCACCATCACCGCGACAATCATAATCTGTTTGTGAAAATATGAAGAGAGCGAGACCGCGTAAATCGCACGGCATCGGGGATTGGAGAACGCCGTTTCCACGTGGGGCTCGATGCGGCGGCATCGGCGTTGCCGACGATCTCCTGTCCCGGTTGGAACGCCAGCTTGCGTCATGGTCTATGCCACCTGAATGCGCTGACGCCGACGCTTACCATTGGCGAGAAACGGAGGTGGGGCCGTCGTCGGATTCGCAAGAGGCGAAGCCACCATGGCTAATGAAATCACGGTGCTGTCACGTCAACGGGACCACGGAGGAGACCCAGGCGGAGAGAGACGTCCCGCACAACACACGGTCCTTCGCACCGGCCGCGTCACCCAAATGATGACCGTGCCAGTTGCGCCGGTCGAGCATAGGCAGGTTTTCCTGTCCCGATCCAAGCAGGAAACAGGATTCGTGGCGGCCCCCCAGACGAGGAGTGGATGGAATCCGCCTCATTCAGGGGCCGTCGATTGGTGTATCCTGGTTTGAGGGAGACAGGTGAGCCTAACTGGTTTAGCAATTGAATTGGCATACGTGGAGAAAACGGCGGACTAAAGAGCGGGGGTCAAAAGAGCGCTGCTATGTCAAGCTGGCCTGTTTAGCTTCTTTGTTTCTTCTTTCCGCTTCCTTCATGTATTCTACCCTCGTTTCATTACATGCCATCTCGTTAATCTGTTCATACCTCGGGCGGTGGGCTTTCGTGGCCCCACCTCCTCGTGTCTTGGGCTTTTTATATCCATTTGCTTTGCTTTCCAATCTCTCTCACAGCGACCCAAAACACCCCTCTTTTAGAAACCTCACCGGTCCTCAACCATCAAACCTCCTCTTTGCTTCGCTTGCTTCACACGACGCCCCCTCTGTTGTGTACCATGCGCATCGTTCCTGTCCCAAAACTCAAAATAGCCTGACACTAAATCCTCTCCACCTATATCCATTACTATCCCCTAAATGCTCTCCGCTTTTGACCCGGAGGAGCAGCTTCTCAGGAGTCCAAAGCGCACAGATCAGAGGAAGAGGGCGTAGTATTGCTTGTCGCTGGGGATTCGAAGCAGCAAATGGCGTACATGTGCGCGGACAGCGGCAACCTAATGGCCATCGCGCAGCAGGTCATCCAGCAGCAACAGCAACAGCAACAGCAACAGCAGCAGCAGCAGCAACCGCAGCTGGCTGCGTCTGTTAACCCTTTCTCCACCAGCCCATCTCCCTGGGCCTCGCACCACCAACACCAGCACGCGTCCGATCACTTCCCCTTCGTCATCCCCGACCCCGCCGCCGCCTTCGCAGACCCCTTCGCCCCCGACCCCATACCCGGCTTTCTGCCCCCCGGAGGTGACAGCGGCCGCCATCTAGACCATGGTCACTTCCGCATGTCCGACTTCGGCTCTTCCGCCGCCACGGTTGCCGCCGAGTTCGACTCCGACGAGTGGATGGAGAGCCTTATCGGCGAGTCTCCCGCAGAGAGCTCCGTCCTCATGAGCGAACCCTGGCCGAGTGCCACTGAATGCGCAGGCGCACTGTTCGTGGACGCCTTCCCCTCCTGCTCCGCCGACATCAGCCTCCCGTCTCCGCCGCCCGCCGCGTCGGACCTCAACGGTGTGTTCTTTTCCGAGCCCTCCAAGATCCCTCCCCTTGCCCTGGTTCAGCACCACCAAGCCGCCGCCGTTGTTGCTTCGAATCCTCCGGCGGCTCAGGTACCGGCATGCGATCGGCCAGAACCAGAAAAGAACTGTGGTGCCGCCACCGTGCGAAAACAGGCGAGGGAGAGAAGCATCTCGTCGCCACCTCTCCTGGAATCCCTCCTCCAGTGCGCCCGCCTAGCCGATTCCGATCCCCATCTCGCGACCAAGTCCCTGATCCATGTCAGAGAATCCGCCTCGGAGTTGGGCGATCCGACGGAGCGCGTCGCCTTCTATTTCGCCGAAGCCCTGCACCGCCGTCTCCTCGGAGCTCAGAGGAAGCATCCGCTTCCTACTTCCGCGCCGCAGCCGCCCTCCCTCGATTCGTCGCCGGAGGAATTTACTCTCTGTTACAAGGTCCTCAATGACGCGTGCCCCTACTTCAAGTTCGCCCAACTCACCGCAAACCAGGCCATCATAGAGGCCACGGAGTCGGCGGGGCGGATCCACATCGTGGATTTCGGGATTGTCCAAGGGGTCCAGTGGCCCTCGCTCCTCCAGGCCCTCGCTACTCGCCCCTCCGGGAAGCCCTCCAAGGTCCGGATCTCCGGCATCCCCGCGCCAGCGCTGGGCGGCGCCGCGATCGCCACGTCGCTGGCCGCAACAGGGAACCGCCTCCGCGACTTCGCGGCGCTCCTCGACCTGGACTTTGAGTTCGACTGTATCCTCACCCCGATTCCGGAGATCGCGGCGTCCACCTTCCGGGTCGACCCGGACGAGTTGGTGGTGGTCAACTTCATGCTCCAGCTCTCCCAGCTCCTCGGCGACTCTCCCGAGCCGGTCGAGCGCGTCCTTCGGGTGGCCAAGTCGCTCGGCCCCCGCATCCTGACGCTGGCAGAGTACGAGGCCAGCCTGAACCACGCGGGCTTCGTGGATCGCTTCGGCGCCGCGCTGGGCCACTACGCGGCCGTGTTCGAGTCGCTCGACCCGGCAATGGGGCGCGACGCGGTCGAGCGGGCACGGATGGAGCGGGTTCTCATCGGGCATCGGATTCTGGAGGCGGTGGGCCCCTTCGAGGGACAGAACCGACGGGTGCGGATGGCGCCGAAGGAGGAATGGAGGGCCGTGATGGAACGGTGCGGCTTCTCGTCCGTCCCGTTGAGCAACTACGCGGTCAGCCAAGCCAAGCTTCTCCTCTGGAACTACAACTACAGCTCCAGGTACACCCTCTTGGATTCCCCTCCGCCCTGCCTCACTCTGGCCTGGGGTGACCGCCCCCTCCTCACGGTGTCCTCATGGCGCTAGTTCCAATGATCATCATAACAAAAAAAGAAGAAGAAATAATTCAATGCGGCACCGCACAAGAAAAAAACGCTAATTATTATTAGATTTCTATTTGGTTCTCTCTTAAATGTTTTCTTGTCTGTTTGTCATATAAGTTGGTAACGGTAGTGAGATGCTGCTGAACTGATCAGTCAAGTTGTCTATTTGGTTTGTTCTTTGTAGCAACAACATGTTTAGGTGGTGGTTGGTGTAAAACTAATTGTAAAAAAAGAAAGGTTAGAAACGGTCACTTGTGTTCTTATGGTCTTTACTGAATTGGCCTGCAATATTCAAATGGAAAGGGTGAAGGCTAATGACACCTTTGGCCTTTACTCTTAGAAGATTACAAGCTTCCACTTTTGGTTGGTTGGGCAGATGGTGAATTGTGGAGAAAGAGTGGCAAGCTTCTCGATTGAAGGTTGTCAGACCGGTAGACTGTTTGGTGAAGGCAGGGATACTGTATTTTTGTTCAATCGGGAGATGGAGCAGAACTGGAGTGGCTTTTTTGTTTCTTTCTGTTCTTTCGTGTTTCAAGAAGCTGAAAGCTTAAGATCCATTTGGAAATATGCAGGGCACTGTTACTGTTGTCTCAATTCATGGAAATCGATACAAGGAAAAAATGGGAGGTTCAATTAGTTGATACTGGAATTAGTCAACATCGGCCTTAGTGCTTTGTGATATCAGGACATGTCGCAATTCGACTGTTTATATCCAAAATAATGATTTTTTCTTGTCAATGAACTACAATTGATGCCGAGTACTTTTCCTTGGTCCTAACAGGAACTGTGCAGCGATGGTTGAGGCTTATCAGTCCATTTCTTTGGATAAGGATTTCTATAATAATGCTCAGCATCATATGTGACAGAATCATTCAGCAGTCTAATCGATCTCAAACGTGATTCGGATATTTCTTTTTGTGTTGGTTTTTACTGTAAACTCGATCTCTGCTCGTGTATACATAACGAGAGAGGAGAGAGGATCGAGACGGTGCATATCAGAGAACAGAGGGAGATAGGTGACGGAGGGCAGAGAAGACGGCCACTGTTGTTGTCAGGGCTCGCTACCTTCCCAAAACGGAGTGGCGCCCCTACCGCTACCCGCGCCGGCAATGCTGCTGCGCCATTCCCCACCCGGCCGCCCGGCCGGCTCCATTTGACATAGAACACCATCCCAACTATTTTTGGTTCTTACTTGTATGTGTATATATAGACATCTCTGTTTCATACATCTGTCTGTCCATGACGGCGACTACGACATCCTTTGCGGCTAATTCATGGCCCGTTTGACGGCGCTCTCAAACCGACTTGGATCAGCTTGTGCTCGATTTGGGCTAATTCTTGGCCTGTTGGGGGATGCAATCGAATGTCAAGCCCAGGTTGGGGGTTACAACATGGCGCTGTGGCTAGAAGACCACCATAAGACGCCGTCGTCTCATCTGCATCTGTCTTTGGGGCTTTGGTCGCGGAGGGTTGCAGCAACGCATCCGTTCCACACACATGTCTCCGAGCGACTCCTCCTTCAAGGTTCCCTCTCCATCTCTGCCTCAGTCTACGTGTTACTTGTTGCTGTGCTGATTACTTTGAGGTACAGCAGATGATTCTGGGGTCGTCCTCAAGGTCTCGCCGGCAGATACTATCCGAGATGGGATACGACTTCATCGTCCTGGTATGTTGTCGCTACCCCACCTTCTCCCGTCTTTTGTTTCGGTCTCCGCTCGTCCGGCGCGTAGTGGCATGACGCCGGTTGCGGTGATTGTCAGAGTGCAGATATCGACGAGAAGGAGATTCGCAGGCACACGCCGGAGGAGCTGGTGATGGTCTTGGCCGAAGCCAAGGTGAGATACAATGCGCTTATTTGTCGATTCAAAACAAGGGTTTGGTTATTTGACGCTAATTTTCGAGTAACTCGATGTAGAACAATATGATTTCTTGAGCATGTTGATTGTACTGTCAGGCAGATGCCATAATATCGAAGCTGAGGAGCAGCGGTTTTAAAGAAGAGGATGCCGAGCCGACTCTATTGATAACCGCTGACCAGGTTTCATCTTGTGTTTGTCCCTTTTCATGGTGTTGTTAGCAGTTCCTGATTGACTGAACACTGAGCATTGCTACCTGAATGTTTCTGCTATTTGTGATGATGGCACTGCTCATCATAAGAACATAATGAAGATCCCTCTGGTGAACGCTATCTTGTTGTGGTTTTGAACAAAATGTTATATATCTTATCTGTAAAGGAATGTGTGGAAGATGGCTTCTTATATGAAATCGATCTTGAGGATTTCACCTTTAGGCTGAGAAGGTGAAGCTAAATTTGAAACTCTAAGGACAACATGCTGCTAAATACTTAAAAAGTGTGGATTTGAATTCATTTTGATAAACTTCCTATAAGCTGATGTGCTTTGATTGGTAAGAGAACATTGGACTCTGTCAAGTAGTATATAGAACAAGTACTACATTGTATGAGAGATGGAAAATTAATGATTTGCTATTTCCTCTAGTAAATATAAGATGGTAATTTAAAAATATCAGAGTTGTTATGCTGAGTCTTCATTGCAAGAAGGAAAATTTCATCAGGTTTTGGCTTCAATTTCATGGTAAAGGGTCTTAACATCGAGAGATAGTTTTTGTGCAGTTCCAATTCTCAGATGCCAAAGCAGACATCTAGTTTCATAGTCCTTAAACATGGGTCAGAGATATTTTTTGGACTTCTTCAAAGTACCAAACAAAGTTCATGAAACCAGCTTTGATCCTGCTAGTTTTCAGTGCTGGATATTTCATCTTAGACACCTATTTTGTGAATCAGCATGTTAATTGCAATGGTCCTGCTAGTAGAAGCCACTTTCTCTTACTTACCATCTTGTTTCACTAAGTTTCTTTTTTTTTTTTACATGTGGAACCAATTTAAAATACTGAAAACTATATCATTTCATAAGCGCCTCGCACTATTCTTGAAAGATCTGTGTGCCAGTTTTAATTTCCGCTGATATAGAGAGTGTTTGTTTTATTGTAAGAGTGTCTAAGTTCCATGTTTTATCCATCACACCAATCCCATTTGTCTCTCAGGCTGATGGATGCCTCTAAAAGTATAGTCATTCCCACTTCATGTGAGGAAACTTATGAGGTTTTGTATCAACTGCTCATGCTACCTTTTCCTCTGTGTTCTGTGTTGCTGTCCTGTGACAATATGTTTGTAGCAATCATCTAGGAGAAACCTTATATCGTGCTAATTATCCTGAAACTACTGATTTTCACATCAACAGGAAAATGAATTTGGTTTAGCTTGTGAATGAGGTTGTTTCCTGGCTGCCAGCTTCCTTTTGTATTAGGATAAAATTTTCTAATATATACTTTGCTGCAAATAACCAGCATCTTTGGCTTTGAGGTATTGTTAGTTTATTACTTGGAGCTGATTTTATTCATTATGGAGGTTGTGGTCCATGGTGGTCTGATAAGAGAAAAGCCAAGCAGCACAGAGGAAGCACGAGAATTTATCAAAGGTTTGTTTAAGGGGGCCTTCCTGATTCTTTGAAAGATGTAATTGCAGACCACCATGGCGTTATCGTGTGCAAACTTTTTTCAGGTTATTCTGCGGGGCATGCATCAACAGTTGGATCTGTACTTGTTACCAATTTGAAAACTGGGGTTAGAAAAGGAGGATGTGATAAAGCTGAGGTATTGTTATGCTGTTCTCACACTATTTCAAATGTAGTATTGAATGTGGCCAAATTTAAATTTAAAGTCATGTTGTAAACAATGGGAACAAAAAAACTTTGTTTCTGATAATGTTCTCACCACATTAATTTCAATCAGCATCTCATCTGGAGAGTACTTGGGTGTATGTACGTGTTAAAATGTCAGCTATAATAAAATGAAAACTATGCAGCACTGAAGTTTATTAGTGGAGTATAATTGCTATTTGGTCAATTTTCTGAGTGGATAATTTTGCAATATTTAAGTATACATTTTCTCTTCTTGCAGATTTATTTTCACAAAATACCAGATGAGGTCATTGATAGCCTGGTATATGCATCTTTTAACTTTTCGACGCTCTACTTGATTTCCCTTTTTTTTCACTGGACATGCCCTTTGCATTTGTCTACAGCACATCCATCTTTAGAACATATGAAAGTAAGCTTGTTTGACATTTTTCAGATTGAGGAGGGTGATGTGCTTTATGTTGCTGGTGGACTGATGGTTGAACATCCATTAACTTCACCTTTTGTGGAGGCAATAGTGAGTATTTCATACAATTTTCGTAGACAATGTAATGGAAAATTATAGAAGAAATTTAGTTCCTTCTGCTCATCTATAATTTCTCAACAAACTTTACAAGGGAGCCAATATTCAACATTTGCAAAATTACTACAAAAAAGGACCCTTCAAAGCCACAAATGTTATTAATTTGTTGGAATTTAATTTTAACTGTTATCAACAAAAATTCCAGTGTTACATCTTATCAAAAATATTATTCATTTTCTAGATGAATAAAATCTAGGAATAACAGTAGAATGGAGACAAAAGATACTAACCTGATGTATTTGGAAGCATGATGTACTTTTTGGTTGTAAGTTCATGTGCTGTCCAAGACCTTTCATTAGAACTTGTGGTCATGACTCCTAGCAAGGCATAACATGAAAAGAGAAAAAAGGACAGTGGACTTATTGTCTAACCTAAATTTTACTGCTGATAGAAACGAAACTTGCACAGATAAATGGCTTACGCATTTATTATCAAGAATTTACCATTTATAGAGGTTTCTATGATATTTACAATTTTTAGGAGGGGTACATTAAGTTTCTCTCATTTTCAACCAAACAAATGATTTTTTTCCAAAATTGTGATTGCTAACATCGAGTTTGACAAATACTTGATACTTTTTTGCAGGTGGGGACAATTGATGGCGTTATGGGGCTTCCTAAAGCTCTCACTCAAAGACTTATTCAGGAGGCCCTTCAGTCAGCAATCTGAGGGTCTTGTCACCGGTGGTCTAACTACAATTTTGATTTTGATGGTGCTAGGGTATCTAATCATCAGGATTAGTTGAAGATGAAGATCAGAGGCCTGTTAAATGATTAACAGGAAATCTGCCACAAGTAGCATCAAAGAATGACTATTAAATTAGAGACTGGTGCAGATTTTTGCTATTACTATCTCAGTTAATTATATTGACATATGTGGACTGTGTGCATCCTAATTTTGCGCCATGGAGTTTAATGATATTGCTACTTGTGAATGCATGCAACTGCTGAGGCACCAAATACAAATGCTATCGTGTTAAATTATGATTTGATCTAGCAAAAAGTCTCAGATAGAACATTAAAAATGAGTTGCAACCCAAGCCTTCATTTCCAAGTTGCTTTATCAATATATCAATCCTCTGTTGGAGTTTTTGGGCTAATAACTCCTGCCAAAGGCTGATGTTTAGCACTATCGCAAAGCACTCGATGATTTCATTGTTACTCAGATACATGTACTGCCTTTGTTTTGTTTCTCCTCAAGTTTGGCTTCATCAGCTTCATGATTTGTCTCCCTATGAATTAATGTTGGATGTGCTGCTCCTTTCTTCTCTTAAGCTGACGGCCATGAATTTAGTCGTGTGTCTCGCTATGCAAAAGCTGTGATAGTTTTGCAGTGAAAGCCATATGAAATCCTATTATAAGCTGCCTAATCATAACAGCATGTTGAGGAAATGAGCCCGTTATCGGATCTTAATTTCTTGTTGCTTCATTTACTCTTAACGTATGCCTATGCAGTGAGTGAACGATGCCGTTCATCGATGCCCTAAAGGTGGGGGTTGAAATAATCATTTCTAATTTCAACTCGTAAAAGATGAGAAAAGGGATGGATATATGTCATAAATTACCTAATGATCATAGCATTCGGAAAATGCGAGAAGTACCACTTGACTAATAATATGAAGGCGGAAAACCAAAAGAAAAGAGGCAAAAAATAATTAGTACGTAGAATGCCTTACTGCATATATTAAAATGGAGAAAATAAAATATCACATAAAAAAGCAATAACTGCAACCCTTTGATGATCATTTAATCT